AAAAAAAATAGAAATTGGGAAAGAACAGCCAAATTCCTATACATGCCAGTTTAATGAAGCTCCCTCCGGTGTTATGTTTTGTTCTGTTACATTGTGTGTTTACCTTATAGTTCAAAGGCAAGCTCTGTTTTAATCCTTACAAAAAAGTAACCTAAAGAAACCTAACGTCATCCACTGTCTTGGGCCTTTCAATGTAACTCTGAGATGACCAATCCACTCTTTGTTCTTTGTTTCTGCATTCTTCATCCCTTTTCTATCTATAAAACCAACCTCTTTTGCTCAACTCATTGGAACACTCCTTCTATTTTATGAAATGAATCTATTCCTGATTCAATAACTCTATGGCCTGATTCTAGAATCACAAATAAAGCCAACTGAGATCTTTAAACTAAATTTGTTATAATTTTATGTTTTGATAGGCTGCTGCTCTGAGGGAGGTGGGAGTGAAGGCCAAGAGTGTTGGGATTGCTCTGGCCTCTGGGTGTAGATTAGATCACAGGAGACCAAGAGCTAGGAGGCACAGAGGTTGGCTGGGAAACCACTGCAGCAATCCAGGAGAGAAGAGTGGTGTCCTGGAAGCAAGTATCGAAAGTGGAGGGAAAAGGTGAAGCAAGTGTCGAAAGTGGAGGGAAAAGGTAAGAGAGAGCAAATGCTGCTGGTTCCCTTGAAGAGATTACTTTAAAAGAAAGCCCAACTGCTGGTCCCATCTCCTCTCACCAGACTATGGTGAGGTCACTCAGGCTTAGGTATTCCCCATGGCCCTGTTGTTAGGGGAATTCTCAGCCTGCCTCTCCCCATAGTCATTCATGCCAGTCATCTCTTCCTGGGCAGTCAGGCTGCTGCTCTCCGAACAGTCAGACTTTGAAGGCTGGGACATGTCACGTGTCACGTGCCGTCCAAGCACAGTGGCCAGGAAAGCCTTCAGGTACTGGCGGAAACGGCGACTGGAGAAGGCATACAAGATGGGGGTGAAGCAGCAGTGAAGGAAGGCGATGCTCTCTGTCACCTGCAGCGCATAGTCCAGATGCTGGCTGACCTCACAGTCCCCAAAGACTTGGAGGTCCAGCAGTGAGTACAGAAATAAGGTGAGGTTATATGGGAACCACAGCACGAAGAAGGCTACCACCAGGGCTGCAGCCATTCTTAGAGCCCGGCCCTGGCCCGGGGGCCTCAGCCTGACCAGGACACAGCCAATGCGTGAGTAGAAGAAGACCATGGCCAGGAGTGGAAGGAGAAACCCGAGAAGGTTCTGCTGGAAGCGGAGGAAGAACTTCCAAGTGGTCCCGTGCCCGCTGAAGTCTGCATAGCAGCTCCACATACCTCTGGGATTCTCATGCATCTGTACCAAGACCATGTCAGGGATGGAGACAGCCAGGGCCAGAGCCCACACTATGGCAGCAAGGAGAAGACTCTTGGCCCGGGTCCTCAGCCTGTGGTGAGGCTGAGCATGGACAATCTCCAGGTATTTGTCGAGATTCATGCAGCTAATGAAAAAGATGCCACTATAAAAGTTAATGGTATAGAGGGTGCTCACCATTTTGCACAGGAAACTCCCAAAGACCCAATGCCAGGCCACGGAGATGCCCCAGAAGGGCAGTGTCACCACAAACAGGAGGTTGGAGATGGCCAGGTTCAGCAGATAGACCTCAGCCATCTGCCGACGAGGCACATACCGAAGCAGGACCACGAGAAGAAGGAGGTTTCCACTTAGGCCCAACACGAAGATCAGGCTGTAGAAGACCGGCAGGAAGACTTTGCTGAAGGCCACCACCGCATCCTTCCTGCAGAGCATGAAGGTCATCTCATCAAGGTAGTCATAGTCATAGAGGAAGCTGCTGTTTTCAGGACTGACATCTTCAGTGGTGAGTGGCAGCGGGGAGATGGTGGTGGCCATGCTGGGAGGATGCACCCAGGCTTGATGTTCTGCCATAGTGTTGGGGAAGAAACATGGTGAGACTCGACATTGCCTATCACGCTCCAAACTCACTTCTGCTGCTGTCCTGGGACGACCAATCAACTCTCCGAATCTTAGTGCCTTCAGTCTAACAAGTATGAGCACAAGCTTGGGGAGCCCCACTCCACCACTTAATGGTTATGTCACCTTGGAGAAGTGACTTAACCTTTCGTATTCAATTCTTTCATTATGGTTTCACTTCTTTATTTTTCTCTCACTATTTATAAAGACTTATAATGGCTTTCAGTTTCTTCTTTATTATTTAGGGATACCCTATCACCTATTTATTGTATCTCCTGACTTTTTCCTCATATGTGGCTTATAATTATATTAATATTTTTAAATGACATGAGATTAAGTGAGATTTGTTTTATCCATAAACGTTTGATATGTCTACTCTGGCTTTGAGTTTTCCTTACTTCTGTCACCTGAGGATTTCCCTTGCTTTTGATAGTTTTTAAATATTTTATATAGAGATGTTTAGTTTTATATAGTTATTTTTATTGACAAATATTTAATATTTTGGGGCGGTGCCTGTGGCTTAGTGGGTAGGGCGCTGACCCCATATACCAAGGGTAGCAGGTTCTAACCCGGCCCCGGCCAAACTGCAACAACCAAAAAAACATAGCCAGGCATTGTGGCGGGCACCTGTAGTCCCAGCTACTCGGGAGGCTGAGGCAAGAGAATCACCTAAGCCCAGAACTTGCAGGTTACTGTGAGCTGTGACACCATGGCACTCTACCAAGAAGAATAAATTGAGACTCTGTCTCTAAAAAAATACTATTTTAAAAATATTTTATCCTGTATTTCTGTTTACAGCAGAAAGGTGTGATCCATCACAATGAGGGACTCAGAACCTATTAAACCTTTCCATTCCTCAGTTTCTTCATCTTTAAAATGAGAATAATAGTGCCAATTTCATAACATTCTTA